ATATCCTCCATTTGTAATAGATTAAAATCTCTAAAGGAACATATTGACAAGTCTTAAAATGGTAGTAGCAGTGCAAACAGGAACTGCTACTACCTCTGAACATATTAAAATTTCTCTATTTTCATTACAATAATGAAAATGTAAATCATCGTTGTTATTTTGAGTGTTACTATAATGTTGATTTTATTGTTCTTTTGGTTTGGGTATTTTTGGTTTTGAATGCAAGAGTCTCATTTATTGCTTACTTGAGGATTTGACCTCATTAAGCAGAGATATTAAAATGTTAGCATTGCAAGTAGGTTTTACAGAGGAGCCAACCATACTGGTAAAGTAATACAATAAAGAACATGTTTCAGTAAGAGAATTGTGGAAAATGCAGGAAACAGCCATTGTGCTGGGAGATACATAAGCATCACAAGATCCTAAAGACATTCTTTATAGTATTGCACTCTGTCTTAGATTATTTCACAACATGTGAAAAGTAGAGATGAAAGACTTTTAGTATATGTGCTGCTGAAGCAAGCACAAGAAGAGAGAATTTTAAAGAAACTCCCAGCTATGCACCACTGAAACAAAGGCAGCTGAGGCATAGTGAGCAATCTTTTATTCTTACTTCGCAGCACTAGATTCCAACTTCCATTTTTCTAATTTATATTTCTGTAAGCCTCAAACATTTATTTCTCTTCCCCTTTTCTGCCTACCTAGACTCAGCATCATCCAATCGAGATATCACACACCCCTGTAAAATATCTTTAGGTAGAGCCACTGCAAGGCTTTTTGTGCTTTCACATCTTGTATTGTCTGTGAAGAGTCTGTGCCTTGCTGATTTGTTTATGTAGTCTGCCCCACTTTCTTCACTTCTTTTTAGTACCTGTGATGGTGTCTGGCACATTGTGCACTGTGCTCAATATATGATTTATTTAATAAGTCGGTCTGTTGTTCTTAAAATGCTCTTATTTTTCCTCAAAATCTTAGACTTCTTTTCTCTTTCAACTACACCAGTTGGTGAATGTTGATCAAATTAATATTTGAGAATATATTCAGCAAACGTAGTTCATGATTTTCTGTCAAATGCTACTCTTTTGGAAAGGGACCTTGATGAAAAATCATTGATGTCTTAAATGTGTGATTTCTTGTTTGTCTTTATGATGCTAAATAAATTTATCTCCCACCTTGATGTAGATATTTGTGTAGAAATGGAGTTTCTCCACAGTATTTACACTGGACCATCAAATTCAGCTGATGCATAAAGATTTGCCTGAGAATCTTACCACTCTTTATTAAAACATGTATTAAACATGTACTCATTATATATTATTGAAAGATAGACATACTTTTAACTTCACACTGATTTTTGGTTGTTTCTCTGACTTAGCATTTGTTGAAGAGTTTTATTTATTTATTTATTTTTGTATTGCTTTTTGTACAAGAGGAGGAGGAGAAGTTCTCAAAGTAGAAACTGACTTCCTATTCCTATTAAGTATAAAACCAAAACTACCAATTTTTTAGATAATGGATTACTTAATAATATCCATTTTGTTTGCTATATGGTTGTGGACCACCTTCAATTTGTCTACATAATTAATGTTCTCAAGTACTTTTATCTTTGCCACTTATTTATTTGACTTCCTCTACCAATAATAGTTCCTAGTATCATAAAAGCACTTAGTGAACAGTTTTCTCACTATGAGAGTATCTTCTTTTTGCAAGCCATCTTTTACTTAAGCCCTCTAATGTATATTGCCAGCAATCCATTTGCGCATCTACTTGTAGTACTGGGTTAGTATTTCTGGTCAGAATATTTATTCTGGTAAATACATATTTTGAAGTAAAAATACTTTATTAATTGGCACACACTCCTAACTGGAGTTGTGTTGAGAGGCACAAATGCACAGCTTCTTTGAGTGTTTATGTCTTAATTCAGAAGCACAGAGTAACTAGCTTTGTAATCCCAGCACTCAGCAGGCTGAGACAGGATTATTGCTGTGAATTTTAGGCAGCCCCAGCCACGTAACAAAACCCGTCTCAAACACACACACACACACACACACACACACACACACACACACACACACACACACACAGTACCATCATGGAATGGCAGTGCCATAATCCATCCTTTTCATCGTGTCCCTCATTTATAACTCGTTCTACTATCTTCCTATTAACTCTCAAAACTATTTAAATTTTCTTTGTCTTTATATTTATTTGATTTTTTTAACTTAGCCCTTAAGTTCTGCTTTAAAATACCTCTCTAATCTAGTCATGTATTCTCCTAAACTATAAAACTGTTTTCTGATATCTTCATTATTCCTTGCTTCCTCTGTCCTTTCTGCCTAAGCTATTATTTTCCCCCTATGTCTGATACACACTACTTTCTTCACCTAAAAGCTGTTATCTAAATTAGAATTAATCACCCCAATCTTTCTCACAATCTTACAATGCCTTAATTTTCATATTCAATTATTTATATAGCTCTGTAGTCAATGTAAAATGGGCTTTGTTTTTTTTGTCTTTTTCGTTTTTATTGGTACCAGGAATCGAACTCACGACGGCCTGCTTTCAGGTCCCCATTTTATCATTTACTGAATAAAACTTCTGAATTAGTCACTGAATCACTCCAGTTTTACCTATCTGTTACTAAGAGGACCAAATAAGAGAGCATATACAAAATTGATTTTTAAATAGTAAAGCATGTGATATTTAGGTATTTTATTTGAATCACAAAGAGTACTTGAAGAACTGTTGATAATAATGTTTTGGGTTTTAGTATACATTTTTAAGTTCCAACCTTGTATTTTGCCCTTAGGAGCCCCTGTCAAATGAATTAAATCGATTATAAATTTCTTGTCCAGTATTAAATGGATAAACCATACCTTGAGACATATCTTTGTAAACTATGTATGTATAGTTTATAGATTTTTTATAGCATCAGTAAATAAATAGATCTTTTAAAGCTTAAAATAGTTATTCCATATCATTCTTATTACTTATATCTTAAATTTTAAATATAATTTTGTTTAATACCAGAATAAAGTGTCATGCTTTATTTTCAATCTCTAGTAGAACATTGGCCTTACCTACTTGTTTTGGTAACGCTCTTACTAAGACAAATGACATAGGTCCAAACTAACTATATAACATAAATCTTCCAAAGTTGCCTGTTTGTGTTCTTACTGTCAAAGTTAGAGGTTTTTCCCCGCCTTTTCTTTTGAGGAATATCTGTAGTTCATTCTGTCCAAAACTAATGTTGTACATTAATTAGACAAAACATACTAATAAAGGTGTGAGATTCTGTGGAGTTGAAAGTACAATAGCCTTTTTGAAAATACTGAGAGCAAATACTGTTTATAAATTGCAGTTTTTTATATTTATTGTCATTCTTTGAAATAAAGCATTAGTGATTCATTTGTTTATACTTTTGTTATGATGAAATGGTAGTATTTCTAAAACTCATGAATGTTCTTTTAAAAAGTCCTTAAAAGTGGGACATTTAGGTTGTTTTAAAAAAAAACTAGTATAATAAGTGCAATGGCAAGTTTTTCTCTAATTTTATTTCAAGATATAATATGCAGAATATATGGTAAATAAATTCCTTATATCAAAGTCTTATTGTCTTTGTTGATATTCATACATTATCTTAATTATGACAGTGGTAGTGGCCCTTAAAGTTTTCAAAAAGTTGAGTGGTCAACAGGTGATAAATGTTCCATTAATTTTCCAGACTTCTAGCTCCTGAGCATGAGAATTGCTGATCAGTTACACCAGTAGTCTCCTAAATGAGCTTTTCACATCTGCCTCTTACTTCATTAGTTAACTGGCTGCCCAGAGATCTGATAAAATGGAATGCCAGTGCCTCTTTACTGCTTGTTCTGTCTGTACAATAAGGATCAGGTCTTTAGCAAAATAGGCACAAAGGGTATTTATCCACTGCCTACTATATATATATATATATATATATATATATATATATATATATATATATATACATATACCTGCTAGTGTCTACAAGACGTTTGAGATTCTTTATTGAAATTACTTTAAGAAAAAATGTTTCATTTTAACTTTCTTTTTAAAAACATTATAAGAATGGCATCTTTTATTATATGACAATTTTATTGATTATATTTGCCCTCAAAAAGAAAACACTTCATTTTTAAATCTTTGAATTTAAAAAATAATGAAAGATTTTAGAAATATATTTTAAAGTAGCAAGCATCATGATTAGTATACTCTTATCCAGGAATTGTTATTAATCCTTGGTTCCATCTTCCTGTGTGTTGGCATTTAAAAAAAAAATTCTAGCAGTTATGATCTATCTTCTTATTACATCATGTTACACAGCAGTCATCCTTTTAATTGGGAAAAATAGTGAATAACTAATGTTTAAGCTGTTTACTAGATGCTGTCTTACTTTTAAAATAGTATTACTCCTCAGTCACATAGTAGAGTGGAAACTTAATAAGCCCATTTGCATATAGTATTTAATGTAGGTCACAGCAAATAGTAAGTGGTTTGATGAGTAATCATATTTTAGGTACACATTACTTCACCTTTTCTAGTATTTGTTCTAACAATTTGGAAGCATTTTAAAAGCTATAAGAAATTACCTATTTGTAAATTATTTTAAATTGCTCTTTAGAAAAAAATTTAGGCAGATTTGCAATAATTTTTCTTTGCTTTAAGATATAATCTTATAGCAAATATATTTCTATTATAAGCAGTTCTAACTAGCTCCTCAATAATAATCACCTCATTTTAATATTTAAAAAGGTTTTGACAGTAACCAAAACATGAAGTCAGTTTCTTATTATTTTTCACATCTAGTTTAATCAGAATCTATTAAAATACATTTTAAAGATATATTAGTGAATATTCTCACTCACTTTATTTTAGGAATTTTAAGTATAGTTTTGTGTAAGTTAAAAACTACATAATGACCTTGTAATAGTGACTTCTGTGGTTGTAACTTCATTTATTTTAACCTTTCTTTGTTGTAGGCCTTGTCTGTATGAAGTCCAGCACATCCGTGGTTGAGCTTGTTATGCTGCTTTGCTCTCAGGTACAAAAATCTCATTTTCTTGATTACATTAGGCAATAGGAGGAATTTTTGTGATTAATAAAATGAATGTACATGTATATATATATGTATGTATATGCATGTATAACTTTTTTAAACTTGCATTATCAGATATGAATAAAATAAGTTGTTAAACTATACGGCCATGTAAATACTGTCTTACTCTCTGTCTCCTACTTTCTTTAGCTGTCTAGCCTCCTGCATCCTCCCTATCCTTTTATTGTTCCCTATTGTTTTATCTGTATGTGTATATGTGTGTGTTTGTGCATATTTGTTACGCCTTTGTCTTCCTTAAGTCCCACCTTTTAAAATGTACATCTTATTATTGCATTATGTCTTCCTCTGTTAAATTAGAAGTAATAGAAACAAGTTTTTTTCAATCAAAAACTAAACTAATACAGTTCATTAATGAATGGTCTTTATTCATGTAGCTTTCCCTTTTTTTTAATGTGTAATTTGTATATCCTAACAACCTACCTAATCCTACTGATCTTTAATAACTAGAATAAAGATAGAATTATATTTTTGGGTAAGTTTCTTTTTAACCACTATGACAAATTAAATAAAGAGTTAAGAATTATAGCTTTGATGGCGAACCTTTAGAGACTGAGTGCCCAAACTACAGCAGAAAAACCCACCTATTTATCGCAAAGCACCAACACTGCAATTAAAATGAATACCGAGGTTTTAAGTTTAGAAAAACAACTCACATATTAACATCTTTTGTCTTAAAAGTAAAACAATACGGCTGCCATAAGTTTGCCACACACTGCAATATAGCGTTTCTGATAACTAAAATAGAAACTTAGTGGTCTTTCACCAGGTACGTCAAGTGTCCTTGAAATACTGCTCCCAGTTATATAAATATTTAATATTTTGTAATAAGTATTTATTACATTCATCCTTAGTTTCCTCAACAGACATAAAAACATATATCTAAACCATTTCTAATAATTGTTTTGTGTCTGTCTAAAACCTCAGCTAACTCCCACATAAACAGCAATATGGTCTCACATAATCCTGTAAAACATCACCAAAAACAAAAATAAAAACTTACCTTTTAATTTTCAGTTTTCAGGTTTACTTTCTTTGGGAATAAATTCATAAAGAAATCACGAGGTTCAGTTCCATCTTTTTAGTCAAGAAGAATAGTGATATGAAAGAAGTTAAAACAACACCCCTGGCAAGAGTCCATCTGCAAAGCATTTGAAAATTTTGTCACTTAATGCTGAAGTCCTGAGTTCGAGAGGCATTCTAAGAGATTAATCTGGCCCTCTTAAATTCATGAAGACCTGCTTATTTTTGTCTTAAGTTTTTTGGAAATAAATACTTTAGAATTCATTCTTCCTTAGCCTGGGTTTCATGGCAGTTCAGAGAAATAAAGAGGAATGTAGCATTAGGATCTAATGTCTTTGATGGCCTCATCATCTAATCATAGGTTTAACATTACTCATTTGCTGGCTCCAGGAATTCCTGCCATTAAGGGCCCTGGAGATGAAACTTTGCCTCAGATATTGATTGAAAGGAAGAGTGAGAAATTTAAGCTGTCTACGCAATGCACTTTCAGTGAAGCAGTATTATAAACACGACTCGCACTTTGATTTTTAAATTGAATTTTAAAATAAGCCTGTTTTATATACTGAAAGTTTTTATATTTCAAATAGTATCACTGATTAAATATGCCTCATTTAGTGATTTAAAGAAGTATACAAGTGAATAGCTCCAATTATTTTTTCCCTCTATTAAACTGAAATACTGGTTTTCATGAAAAATTTTTTAAAGAAACAAATGAATAGTTCACTTTCAATCCAGTTAAGATGGGCAAAGTTTACTATTCTACTGTGAAGTTTAATTTATAAAATTCTCATCATTAGTTGCTCCTTGGGTGTTTAAAACCTGGGTTTTTAGGATGCAGAAAAATAGAAACATTTTCCAAGTTTCTGAAGCCTGTCATTTTTCACTATGATTCAAATTGATAGAAATTGACATTGTATTTTCATCCATTAGCAAGACAAACATAATAGTAGCAGACCCCTAATAAGGAGAAATAAATACAATAAATGATGGTATGGAGCTTTCTCTAGAGCACCATTCTTTGCAATAGGCCTTAATGCCTCTCTCCTACAATAGCTCTGATCCCTGTAGAATTAGCACAGTTCTGTAGCAGTCTTCCTGCCAAGGCAGAAGTCAATGCTGATGAATCTTTAAAGCTGTAGACCCAGAGACTCTTTCTGCTGTATTTTTTAGTCAGCCCTTTGAAAGTATTTATAGTTTTATATAATGCTGAAATACACACTAATAAAAAATACTGGTACTAATAAAAATACTTAAATATGTGAATCTATCTTTGTGCTTTCTATATTTTTTCCACAGTGATGTACACAGTTAAGATATTATCCATACTGTGATTTAATTCTTGGCTAAAACAAGTGATACAAGTAGAATTCCTGGTTTGTTTGATTAAAATATGCTTTTCCTCCTCAATAAAATAGACTATTGAAAGATCAAATTTTGTTGGAGCAAATAGGAAGCTAAGGATTGAAAAAGAAAAATGCTGTTTTCTGGCAGCATTTTGGTCTTTGCTACACATTTGATGCTTTTATTTCTGTTTTTCGTTTTAATTTTGGAAATTTCATGTAAACCACTACATATAATGTAGATTTTACGTTTTTTTTTTCCTTCTTATCTGAGCTCAAACAAAATTACTTTTGCCAATAGTTTGCATCAAAAATATGGTCTAAATTTACATGAGATCCTGTTACAAGTTTCTGAAGGTACTTGTCAAGGATAATTCACTTCATATGGGCATGCTTTTAAACTCCAAGGGCTATGGCATACAGTATACCCCTACCCTGTCCTCGTGGAATTTTACATCTCTGTGGAAAATGTATTTTAAGTTTTAAGAAAATATTAGTATTATTATCATTACAACTTATTTATTCTTCTACAAATGCTAAGTACAAATTTTACTATATTCTGAATAATTAATCAGTATAACTCTTATGACACAAAGATATGTTTTAAAAAAGTAACTTCTTGATTTTTGATATTCATTCAAATTTTAATTATTAGCATCTTTAAATTTTTTTCCTGTTATTTTGAAGCAAAATAAATTACACTAAAATAATTTTTATATATTATATTTGACACAATCAATTGCTTAGTCAGAAAGCTACAGTTTCCAACAGGTTCTTCAGTATATCACAGTGTATAATAGTGTTTTATATCATAGATTTACTTTAGGTATTACAGTGGAGCTATGGTTTAGGTGCTTTGCATTCTTCTCTATATACCCTTGTTTTTATTTTTTATACATTATCCTTAACATGTTATATTCTTTGATGAATAGCAGACTTAGTTTTCAAGTAAACTCCTTAAGGTACTAGAATAGCTTCTAATTATTTCCAGATTTTTTTCTAGGAAGTCTCTATGAGTGACACTCTCAGAAAAAAATTGAGTGTTGTTATCCCATAGGATTTCTTTAAGTTTTTAAAAGTAAAGCTTAACAGATATCATATGCATTTTTCTGTGCCTTATCTGTCAATAGAAAATGTTTTATAAACTGAGAAACTTTATGTAAGAAAGTCAGTATTTAAGTGCTTTGTGACTTGAAGCAGTGATTAAGCAAACATGTGCTTAATAAATCTTTTATTCTCATTAAAATCTAAAAATGTATAAGTAACAAAAATCTTAGCTTAGGATCTATGCTTGAAGTTATTAGCATGAATTATTTTGTGGTTTTGTTTGACTTTATTCCTTTTGAAATACTTAATATACCTAAATAAAAAGGATTTTCGTGATTTCTCTGATGTGATCAAGGCATAACTCAGGACTTCTAAAGAAAGACACCACTTACAAAGGAACCACAACTGAAGAACAAGTGGGCTTCCCTTCTCCAGTGATTTGGCTTTTAAACATTTAAGTTTTTTCAGATTTTTCCAATTTAATATAGTTGAGTCAGCTGGTACAAAACAAAAAGATAAATTTTTTCTTCTACATGTAATAAAAATAAGATTTAAATATAATACATATGATTACTTCAGAGACCTACTAAATAGCACTTTTTTTTCTTTTCTTTTTTTTTAATCGGTACTGGGGATCGAACTCACGACCGCCTGCTTGCAAGGCAGATGCTTATGCCGCTGAGCTAAATCCCTAGCCCCTAAATAGCACTTATTAATAAACACTCAGTATTACAAAGATTTGATTGTGTATAACAGCAAGTATAAGAAAACCAGAGATGTACTACATGCTTTTTCAGAATGTTTTGAAATATGAAATTCTGATATCAAATTATCATTTTATATCACATTTACTTCAACAGTTAATTATTCGGTGTCTACCTTTTTTTAGCCTTTATGGTGGTTACCACACTTTTCATTTCTGAAGAAGTGTAGTATTTTCTATGAAACTTGGAAGTTATGTAGATGATTTGGAATCAGTGATGAACAGTTAAAACGTATAGTACAGTGTTTTAATTGAGTATAATAAGTCCAAGCTATGTGATCAGAAAATTGACCCTACAAACCAACAAGATTGGGATAGACTGAAGGTAGTTCTCAAGCTAGCAGACTTTCTACTCTATTTTGCATAAGCAAGTAAGGAGATTCTGGCTGCAGAAACCATCTTAGCAAAAGTCCACAGATAAAAACCTATTAAGCTCAAACCCATTAGCATCCTCATTTACAGCATGTCAGAAAGTAAGTAGCCAAAATACATATTTATTTATTTGCAAGCTGTTACACATCTTTCACATCATACACTGTATAATTTCTTCCTTGGAGTTTTTTTATATAAAATGTTGTAGTATTGTAACTGTATAGAGTAGAGAATAAAAAGAAAGTTCTCATTTTAAAAACATTAGGCTGCAGGGGCTGGGGATTTAGCTCAGCCTCATAAGCACCTGCCTTTCAAGCAGGCGGTCGTGAGTTCAATCCCCGGTACTAAAAGAAAAGAAAAACAAAAGAAAACAAAACAAAACA